ATATAGACAGAGAGAGAGGCAATGATTTCCCTGGCTTGTTTCTTCAACAGCAGTTTCTCAGCAAGAAACCGTGTGAAGCAGTGGCAGACCTATGGAACATGAACAAATATTTGTTTTCTCTGTTTTTTTTCCTAGACTAATTGTCTCAGATTTATGGCAACTGATGTTTCCTAGTCTTAACTGTTTACACATTTGTTTTTATTAGCAGTGGTATTGTGTTGAGGTTTAATGCTGGGTTCTCTTCTTTTTTCTTCCCAGGGTGATACCAATGGTCATTCAGTTTTCTATTCTGATTATGCTGCACTCCGCTCTTGTGCTAATCACTACGGCAGAGGATTACAAATGTTTACCCTTAATGCTCCGGAAAACTTGCTGCTGGATTAATGAGACCTACCTGGCCAGGAATGTCATTATATTTGCATCCATTCTGATTAATTTTCTTGGAGCCATCATCAATATTGTAAGCTTATAGGGAACCAGGGATTATTATACAGGAAAAGATGATTTATGAATTATTAAGCTTGCTACAGTACTTGCTAACTAATGTGTCTATAAGCCAGCTATGATTTAAATATAAAAGGCGAAGTACCACAGCTCCAGGAAATTCAATCTGTTGCTTAAACTGTGTATTTCTGAAATATCTAATTATTTCTCCTTCATGAGTATCATCTATTTTTAAAACCCTTTTTCTACTTTCTGTTCAATATATCTACCCTTTGAGGACGATTTGTAATTTTCTGACATGCTGATATACTTTCTTAAAGACTGTCAATCCAAGTAATGCTTATAGATATTAAATTCCTCATCTCACAGTTCTCCCATTAATTAGATTACTAAAAAAATGAGAAGTGTCAACGAACCCAGAAAATACCTTCAAAGAAAGGATGGAGAAGGTCAAGCTGAGCCAGTAACCACAGCATGTAAAAAGAAGTTAAAAAGCATAAATTCTAAACATACGCTGCCTTGCTCATTTAGTGGTTTGACAAACCCCTTCGGCCCGGCTTCACCTTAGCTGAAGTACCAAACTATGGGCATAGTCACTCTCAACTTGCTTTATAGTCAGTGCAGAAAAACAGGCATTCCCAAAGATTTCTTTTGATCATACTGGTTCCAATAAAGAGATTTTTCTCTCTCCACTGCCCACAGAGGGAGTTTAGTCTGATTTAGCTCCTAATTTATACATCTCCACTAAGACTCTAAAGTGTGACAAATCTAGAGCAAAGTTTATCAGTGTATCTGGGAGGAAAGGCATGTACCAAGCTTTGCTTAGCAGCTGTGGTTAGATAAAAATACTGGTAATTGAATACTGTGGGCCTAGCTCTATGCAATGTCGCAGGGTAAAAGAGTGGGGTCTTGTATGCAAACACAATAGATTACCCTGATTACCTGGATGTCTTCAGAAATATGAGACAGCTTTGCATGAATTAGGCAGATTATCATGTCAGACAACCTGGCAGGTGTTGAAGCCTGAGCCAAGAAGGCATCAAATATCTCACTGATAGATTAAAAATAACTTTCCTCTTGTAGAACACCTTTTGGCTATGGATGTAGTGGTGCTTTTTCATCTGAACTTACTCTTTTAAAATATATAGTTCCTTCTAGATGAGACCAGGAAAGCATTTAGTGACAGTAATAACAATAGCAACTATAACAACACAGCAGCAACAATAATTATCCTGTAATAATTAATAATAATTATTATTATATCATTGGAGTAAGCATGCTGAAGTCTGATACTTCAAAGGTTTACCTCATCTTTTGCTAACAGATATGAGATTTTATTACATTCTATTGCTGTCATTCTTCCATGATTGAATTCAGGCTGCCAATATGCGAGGACTCAGCATCTGTCTGGGTTATTTAGTGATACCATGCAGTCACTGGTAGGAGAGTTAGTCACAGAAAGAAGAATGTAACCATGAATTGCTATCCTTACAGAGAAAATACAAATACAGTAAATGACAGGAAGTTCAATAGGGCTGAAAACTTCCTGAAGATAAGGACAGTGGTACACTATAGTATAGATCACTAAAGAGCATTGCAGGATTTAGAGTTTTTAAAATCATGTTTGACAAATATCTGTCAGGAAAGATTTTGCTAGAATTAATCTTGCTCTTGAAACAAGATGATCTGTAATGGGCTACCCGTACCCAATTTGCTATGGATACGACGATAACGAGATTTTCCCCTGACTTGTTGTGGATTATTTTTTAAGATTGTGTCCACTGCAGTCTTGTGGGATGGCTAATCCAAAACCAGTCAAAAGAAATATAATTCTTTTTACTGTCATACCAGTGGGTTTCTATAAAGCAGTAAACAGTTATATGTATTGTCATATATTTAGAACGGCAATGACTTGAGTCACCGAGTCCTGACCTCTACAGGAAATCACAACATTCCTATAACCTCATTATTTTGTATGTCAAAATTCTGCCATAATAATAGTTTGCTCAGGAGGGACCTGCATGCATTTAATAACAGGTAATGCAGCTCAGCCTTGCAGTTATATGCATCCACTGAGTTCAAACGCACCCAGTTGGAGGGAACTAAGTCTCAGATGCTTTCTAACATGAGCCATAAGGCTTTGGTTTCACCAGGGGGGTAAATGAGTCTTGTGATTCTTTCCATCAAGTGCATTCTTGTTGTTATAAAATTAGAATAAATTTTCTGATCCTGAAGGTCTTTTAAAAAGACACCCAGAGTGGTTTTCATGGCACTCTGCTCTGCAGAGAGGTGTTGTACACCTCATAAACTTTCAGAAGGTACCATTAAATATCTGTTGTCACAGAGGACTGCACAGGCAACTTAGATAATGTTACTGCATTGCAGAGATGACTGAATTGTTGAAAGAACAAACAAGAGAGTTCCAAGTTCAAAATTCATTAGAATTTAATTATAAGAAATTGGGCCTCATTAAACAAACTCTCTAACTCTGTTGGAAAGAAAGACAGGGGAACTAGCTTGTACGTACCGGGTTGATGAAACATCCTAATATAAACATCCAGATTGGATTAATATATGTAACAAGAGACTCCATCTGCTTTAACTGTCAAAACATGAAACCATTAATGATTTTTTTCCTGTATTCTAAGACCATGATGTATTGCAACTCAACACTGCTGTCTTGTTTATATTTAATACACTTGGTTTGAAATACCATTAAAATGAGTGCAGGTCATAACAGCAAAAGGCAGCATACATTCTCAAAACCATTGTATCATGAATGAATTTTCATTCCCTTCTATTCTAGGCATCACAGTTGCAGTTCTGAGACCCCATTATGTTTTGGCACAAGCCAATTCTGCATGACGCCATAGGATTTTGTCCCACATCTAGGATAACACTGTCCATAGCAACATAGCGTAAAAAACCTGCTTGCAGACAAGTGCACACATGCTGTCTGATTTTATGCTCCCAATTTAATAATTTTATCTATATTTTATAGCGAAGTATACAAATTTTGAGAGGGTAATTTTGTTTTCTTTATTCATAGCTATGGTGTGATTTTGATAAACCAGTCACCCTGAAGAACCAGACATTCAATTCATCCGCATCGTTTACGGACATCTGTTCCTATCCTGAGGTATTTCTGAGGGTACTTTTGAATCTGAGGCACAGATCCACAAAGGTTACATGGCAACCACTACCTGGAATCAATGACCTGTGTACTGGTGACAGAGTCAGGTGCCTCAACAACACTGTGAAGTTGAACCTTAGCATTTATCCATATGCTGGTAGAAAAAGCAGAGGCAGATTACAGAAGGAATTAATCTTACGGTCGAATGGGTCATTACAACCAAGTTTCAACCTTTGAACTTCATACAGAACCTTTATGTTGGAAACACATCCAGCAATGATTCAATGAACCTAGTGCATTAAAACATACTCATATGAAGCTAATGGAGACTAATACTTCTTACATAGCAAAACCAGCAGTCATTCTGCTGTAGTTATTTTAAATTTACATTTGGAGCAAAAAAAATCCTCTCTATGATGAGCAAGCAGGCAACAAAATCAATGGGTTGGTCTTGTGTAGATAAAAGAAGTATGTTGCTTAGAAAGTCATATGGCAGTGTCATGATACTGCCAGCAGTATGCCGCAAATTGTAAGGATGCAGACTTTCCTACAGAGGAACTGTACTAAAGAAAAACTGTACTCAGAAAAATGAATGCTATCTCTCCTAAAGCTGTATGATAGGAGTTAATTTAAACTGCATTTGAACTGTGGGTGTTGATGTTGCTATTTTAAATTTGAGTAGCTCATGGCCATGATTGTCTCTCCCTATCCAGTATCAGCTGCATGGATTGCATTGGACAGATGACTAATCATTGAGAAAAATGAGACAATGAAGAGATTAGAAAATGAGACATGAATAAAACTTCCAGGCACCACATTTTAAGAGAGTAATGTAACTAAGCTAGACCTGCAATATTAAAAATAAAAAAATTAAAATTAAAAACCAACAAAACCTGTGGCTTTATCCTCTCTTCAAGTAGCATGGGAAAAGGATTAAAGCAGGAATATGATTCTCCCATCCTGATTAATGTGGGTCTTGTGGAACTTCAGAATCCAAAGGAATATAAATTATTTTCTCTCGGTTGACTTTTCATTAGCAAACTACTACATGTCTCCTTTTCCTCTTCTCACTATACAGGATGCCCTTTCCCTTCTAATATAATGAAAATGCCATAAAGGCTCAGAGGAGGATTTCTGCTAACATGGAGGTGCCATGCAAAATAGAGAATTTGTAATTTCATGTTCTATTTTAGCAAAACCTTTATTTTCAAAGTGCCCTGCACCCTAAGAAGTCTTAGCTGAGCATTGAAATCCAGAGCAATTTTTTTTCTACCTCTGATCACTTGATCATCTATATAGATGTTTATGGAGTTAATATGTAGTCACTGATCTCCGAAAGTAACCACTACTGTTTTCTATTCAGTATTTTGTCTTCACTGGTGTGCTGGCAATGGTGACTTGTGCGGTCTTTCTTCGTCTCAACTCTGTCCTGAAGCTGGCAGTACTTCTCATCATGATTGCGATCTATTCTCTGCTGACTGAGACCATTTATGCTTCCCTTTTTCTGCAATATGACAACTTTAACCACAATGGAGAGTAAGTGTTGACAGCCCCCTTTAGGAACTGCTTTTTAATAAGGTAACGGGTCAAGTCTTGCCAGAGTATACACATATAGGATAGCACCATAATTAAGTATGGAGTGATGGTTGCAAGAGGCAATGACTAATCCAAAAAGATTTATATTGTGATTCTTTCTCAGGCTTTTTTATTAAAATGTTCATTTCATGAGGACTTTTAAATATTGAGCAGGGTTTGTCTTTTATGTCTCCCCTAGTCTATCCATGTTGCTAAAAATATGGATTACAGTGCATATACATTGGTTGCTTCTATTCTTGAAAACTCCAGAGATACTGATTGAAACTCTTACCTCAATTTAAGAAAACAGGAGTAAACAATTGATTTTTTAGGGGCAGGGTTTTAACTGAATAAAATTCAAACTATAATGTATAGTTGTGAAAGATATAAGGAATACAGGGATGACCCCATTTTGTAGGATTGCATTTGAAGGACAGACTCCTCTTCCCAGGCTTCCTTCCCAGCAAGAGGAGTTGAAGAGGAGGACAGAGGAGCCACAGTAATTTGCAGAGTCAGAGGTGCACTAAGTGTTAAAATAACTTAAGTTAGAGCAGCAGTGATTTAGCTCATTCAGAAAAACACTTCTTCAGTCTTTGATACTTGACCAATTCAGTATTGCAGTTGCTTGTGCTTATAAGTGCGTGCCAGATGAAGATCCTCAGAATGACAGAAAAGCATGGATTTGCAGCACAATTAGTCCTCACAACAGCCACATCTTTACACATAGTAAGGCTCTGCATGCATATCTTTCCTTGCTAGCTTCCTACGGTAGCAAGGTACTAAAGATTTGGGATGCAATTCCTTTTTCTAATGCTAGTTATGCTCCTACAGACTACTGATATGACATATAGCATATTCACAGCAGAGCCCAGCAAATATGACAAATGGCAGTAAGCAATACTTTGGCTAAGTAACTAAAAGTAGAAGTCATGACCATTGTCTTTAATTTTTGTCACTAATCAAGCATGGCAAAGAAAGATTCTCCCTTGTGTGAAAATCTTAGAGAATTCAGAGTAGTTTCTATTCCCTGTGTCAATGAAACTCTCCAGCGACTTTTATCACAGAAGAGTAAGAAAGAGCCAGGAATATCCTCTAGAGTAGCCAACAGCCCAGGACATAGGGAACTCAGCTGAGATGCTCCACACTCAGGACAAGGACCTGAACTTCAGCTCTGACATATAGGGAGCATGAGGTTGAAGGCTGTGTGCCCAGAAACTTATCTGGTTTCTTAGCTATACTAATTAGTTGAATAAAAGGTTTTGCAACTCCCTACAAAACTCATCTAGCTCATATATGTGTGGTTATAGCTACCTTACCACAATATGCAATAACAGATGAGTTCATAAATAAGACCTTTGAGGCTGTTGCCCTTAGCCAGCATACAAGGAGTCCTTCTGGGATGAAATCTTTGGGAGGTTGCATTTCAGACAACTTCAAAATGGGAAACATTCGAATTCCAAAATATTTGCAGATGACAAAGATGTTTCCTGCCTGTCTTTTGCTCTATACTGATGACTCATCCCACAGTGGTACATTTCCTGACAGTAAATTCTTCATTAGGCCCACAAAGTCAGTTCAGTTAGCTCTCTCACAAGAAAGTTTCCTTTTGGTTTATTCTCCGTCAAGCTCTGCTCTTTCTCTCTCTAATTTCTCTGTCATAGGAATCCTCCTCTGACAAATATCACCTGATCTTTTTTTTCAAAATTACTACGGAAAATGGATTCAGGGTCTGGACTTTGCTTAGACCTCAGGGTAGACAGAAGAGTGTCCCAAAGTCTCTTCCAACTTCTCCTTGTTTACTCCTTTATTAACTTTTTTCACAACTTCAACCTTTAAGCACCTCTTAACCATTTCTTCATCTTTCCTCATCTCCCTTTGACAAAATAATTGCCAAGTATCCATGTTCGATTCACCTCCAAATTTAGTTCTTTCTCCCTTTTGTTTTACTATAAGATTTGCCCTACTGGTTCCCCAACTGGTAGGGGGTTCATTTATGTCTTTTCCCCTGGGAAACATGCCTTTTTAAAAAACCCTGATATTACAGAGATACTCTCTTCAGTTTTGTCATCTTTCCACATAACTGTAATTTCTCCTCATATTTGAAACCCCCTTTAACTGCTCTGGACCCCTTTCACCTTATTTTGTCACACTTTCTTCGTGCTCCACACACAGCATCTCAGCGATTTCATACAGCAGATTTCATACAGCCAGTATCTTCTTGGCTAATCTTCTTTGTTTCCCTACTGTCTGCAAGAGTTTCCTTTACTTCCCCTGTCATAGGCAGACATTTCTTCTCTGTGCTCCTCTTTGTGGCTTAGTAAAACCAGTCCTAATTACTGTTTGTCATTTTTTTTATTCCCCTTTGATCCACACCTCCTTCCTTAACTCACCTGTCATCTTCTCCGAACATTTCTCAATATACAGGGATGTTTAACTTTCAGCACCTGCCTTGGGGTCCATCTTTTATCTCTAGGTCCATTCACTGGGCTTTCACTTTCACAATCTGGAAGTTTCCCTTTTCCAGCTCCAGCTTCAACCTTTCCCCATCCAGATCCCAACTCCTGTACTCCACAGGGGCTGGGATGTTCATGGATATTTACCAAGCTCCCAGGAAAAGAGAGAGACTGACACACAGCTTGCATATCACATTTGAAAGAGAAAGATCATCACTTTCTCTGTACCTACTGTAGGCTACAGTTTAGTTATTTAATATAGTTGTCTCCAAACAGTGAGCATTCTAATTACATTCCTGTTCTCTTGAACTAATTATTGCTAAGTTAAATTTTCAAATACAAGGGATTTTTTAAAGAATAACAAAAAGTACCAGGGTGCATTATGAAATGAAAGTTCTGAACAATTATAACACTGACAAATCAATAACTGTATTTTACTTTGGATTTTTTTTCCAGCACAGACTTCCTGGGTACAAAGGAGGCATCTTTACTACTGATGGCAATGTTCCTTTTAGCCGTATTTTATCACGGTCAACAGGTAATGCAAACATTCGCTTTAACCATTCCTTATAACACTTGCAATTGCAGGATGTGACAATAATTACTTTCAAAAGTGAGGCACCGACTGCCTTTTTATCCACTTGAGCATATGACCTTTAACAATTTAATAAACCATATGCAGAATCTGATTAAAGAAAGCCCACATCTGACACTGCCTAGCATTCTTAAAGAACATGTGCAATATTATATTCAGCAATACACAAGTTATATTGCATTTTCTAATAGAAATTGAAAGAACAAACGGGACTTCGTTTATCTTATGAATATGTACATGTACAATTCCAGTGGCATCTGACTGCTTCAGTGCACTTGAGTTGGCATAAAATCAAAATGAAGAAAGGGAATAACAAACAGTAAATAATAAACCTCCCATGAAATAGCTTAGTATGTTCATAGAGGAAAACCACCAGAATTGAGGACATGAGGAAAATTTGCCATTAAGCACCCACACTAACTTCTTTGGGTCATGGACCACTTGCAAGAATTCTTTCACATGGACCTAGATCATAACCAGGATTTAGGGGCCTCAGAGCTTTAGGATTGATATCCTTGAGGAGGAACTGAGAAACCGGGTATTTCAAGAATCCATACACAGTGCACAGGGAGAGTGAAGTATGACAAATTAAGATTTAAAACAACAAATGTATTGAGTAAAAGCCACATAAAGCAGGGTGTTTTCTCCACTGTTTCTGGTTGGCAACCTCTAGGCTGCTGCATGTCAAACATGCTGACTTCAGGCATTTTCTGTTCACATAAAGGCAAACGGTATCACTGCATTAAAGGAAGCAGCAACCACAATTGCCTTCAGACATTGTCCTGCATGTTCAACTTGCGTAAAGATTTTCCCTTCAAGAGCATTAGGCTGATTAATACCAGCATTTCTCGATCCTAATTTGAGTGAGGCAATAAGAGAGGAACGTTGCTGTGGTTAATAACATAATATTATACACTTTATTGCAATAACTTTATAAGTTGTGCAAGTACCTACATGCTCCATTCCTTCCATAGGAGAGCAAAAAGAAGGCAAGACCTATATATTCTAGCAATTTTCTTCTTTTTTATCTCCTCTTTGAGGAAATGAGGAATGAGTGAGTAAGGGAAGCAAGGGATTAAATGTGCTTTGTGCCCAGGTTTAAGTTTGACAGAAAACAATGTACTTTGACATATCTTTATCAAGACATAAAGCCCATTTAGGAAAAATATGAAACAAATAAGAACTGAAAATCCCAAATTTGTGATAAGCCTTATAATATTCCCAATGTTTCTTAACATACACAAAGAACATATCTAAGGGTTGGGAATGGTCTAAAGTGAGAGTAAGTGCTAAGAAAGAAAACACTAAAGGGGTTTAGGTAGAGCAAAAATTAGGCAGAATCCGGGCAATGCTCTTCAGGATCACAATTCCAAGTGTAAATGTCTGTCTTCTACATAAGCCTGATCTGGGGTGTTTAAGAGAATTTTCCAGCCCAGAGGCCTGTTAGCACAACACAGTCTTTTTCCATCCCATTAATCTTCCTTGTTCCATAAAACAGGGTGGCTGCACTGAAACTACCCTTGGAAATGGTCCCTGAGTTCTCCTGCATGTTCTCCCAAACAATTCAAAGGGCCACTCTATCAATTTAACAATATCCAACGTCAGTGCCTAGAACATTTCCTTGTATTGTTTAATTTCCTATTATAGAGTTAACCTAAAGGTCTCTGTATAAATACAAACTAAAAATATATATAAAAATTTTGTCCAGAGCACATTAAAAAAAAAATCACTTCAATAGTCTGAATTGATGGGGAGCACAGTAAATCGAATAAAGTCGTCCTCCAGCACAGCTTTGCTTCTCACAAACGGCAAAAATATTCTGAAGTAAAATAGCTTAAAACTTGCCTCATTCTAGGTGGATTTACAAAAAAATATTACTTTTGTAAGGTCAAGCTTACGGACCTTTAATTTCTGCTAACTACTGTTCTTTATCCACTGTGAATTAAAATTAATCCCCACTTTTGCACCCAGAATTTTAAGTTAGATTCAAGAAAAATTTGTGTGAGACTGTCTAATTAGACTCAGAGCTTTCTTAAAATCTCACCTATACTTTAGCCACTAAACCTCAAGGGTCTCTGGTGCTAAACCCATAATTAAAAGTAGTTCTGTTACTGTTATATGACATCAGGCTAAGTAAACTAATTCCCTATTAGAAATTCAATTTTGTCTAGAAGCACATCTTTTTAACACAAGTAATACATATTCTACAGCAGTGTTTCTGAAAACTAAACTTGAGAAAAAACACATGACAGAAGTGTTGTGGATAATTTCAAGGCTGGACTTATTCTATTGTAAAATGTGTTCATTTACCGCTTTATCTCTTTAATGAGTTAAGAACATTTTGTATGAACATACACTATCTCTTAAAACCTTATCAAAATACAATACCACATACAGTCTTCTTTACTAGAAATACATCTCTAGTGAAAACACACAATATAAATAGTCTATTAACCCTGAATGAAACCTTCCGCCATGGCTTTAAAGGGGAAGGTTTTAACAATTGCAAAGAGGGAATAAAACTGGCCAGAGCAGACTCAGTCCCTCCTCTCCCTCCCCTCCAATTAGACCTAAAAAGAGGCCTTATAAAACAGAGGACAAACCCCTCTCTGGTTTCTTTTAGATTGTAGATCCGAGCGTAGGTCTTGCCCACACCAGAGGAGTGTTCTGATGTAGGCAAGTGTTGACTGACTGACTGGTTTTCTCCTCCGCTTCTGGGGCTCTTTGGCACAAAGGAAGACTTGAACTTTGACAGGACAGGCACAGACAGCTATGTACCTAATAGCCTCTGGATGTCGGGGTTGTAGCTTAGCTCTACAGCGCCTTGTGGGAAGGGAGGAAGGATTGACATCCCTACACAGCAATTTATCTGCAACAAACATGACCCCCTGAACCTTCTTCATGCTTGGGAAAAAGGGGAGGAATGAGGAAATGTGAAGAGGAAATTGTTCCAGCTGAAAGAGAAAAGAGAGGAAGAGACATACCTAATTCTGGTATTATGCTTCAGGTCTCTTCGTTATCTTTTCTACACTCAGATTTTAATGTAGTGAAGAAAGGATATTTGTTTGTTTTATCTGGAGTTAGACTGTTTTCAGCGGTTGAAAGTGTCTCTTTGGGATGTAAATCATCTTTTCTCATTCCCTAAGGAAGTATATTCTGCCCCTCAAATGCTGATCCTTAACTTGTGCTTTCCTTGCATGTGGTAATTGTCTGCAGAGAGGTTGTGTTGTTAGCATTTAGAGGACAGGTAGTGTTAGGCTTTCTGTGCAATACATCATCTCTATTTTCTTCACTCTCTGTTGGAATTAGGGGTGTTTTGTAGAGCTACATATTAGGGCAAGAAAACCTGGACATTTCAAGATTTATGCTGCAGACAGTCATTTTCATTGGCACCACTGTGCCCAGGAACATTTCTTTACACAATCAAAAAATAAACCCAAAACTCAACCCTATAATTTTGTTATTTTTAACAAATATCAGAACTTAGCAAAGCATCTTCTTAAAATTTCTATTTTCAAACCTCATATGTAGCACACCCTTTTATCTCTGAACTGACAGTGTCATCTCAGTTGTCCACTGATGTTACAAGAAAATATTTCACATTGCAATGTGATTACAAATAACCAGAATGACATTATCTAAGATGTAAAGATCAGCTGCTGCTATTCTGAGCTAGGTTTAGAGATGTGAAATTTTCTTGTACAACAGCATAAAAAATCAGCTGTGAAAAACTGCACTACAATTTTTTGCAAAGCTCTTATTGTAATGGCATTAAATATCTGAAGCATCAAAGAACTCAGAATCCACCAGCAGCTCCTGCTCCAAGCCAATCTGTAAAATACCTTTAGAACTCCTGCAAAATTATAGTCAATGTTGCCTTCATAGTCAGCTGATAGAGACAAAAGTCAATTATGATCTGGTATGGGCTCTGTCTTCTAGCACAAAAGGAAGGGGGAAGGAAACTGAAAAATGTTGAAAAATTTATTTAAAAATACTTTTTTCTGACAGGTTTTTTTGGTGCAGTTAATTGAGGGAATTAATAGTCACAAGATGGAAGATCAAACTATTAGAAGTAGAAAAGAGATTAATTGTTTACAAAGGTAGCAATAGCATCCAGAGGGCAAGTAAATCACTGCTAAAGTCCATACAAGCTTTGGACATTTACGTCAAGCCAGGGTCACTTTTAGCTTTTAGGAAGAAAAGCTCTCTGGAATACAATGAACCTATAAAGCCCCTTGCAAGGTGCTTTGCATTTGCTTCTGAACAGTTTGCCATTGGCCACTGCTGGTGATGAAAAATGTGGACAAGATGTGTCACTAAACAATGCCTGAACCCCCTTTTAGTCACTCCCACCCACTGCAGGCTTGTGCTTTACTTCAGCTTGGTACATGAATTATATCCTAACCACTTCCTTAACCCCAGCACCTTTTGGCAAACCATTTGATGTCTCTCCCAATTGTAAAATGCATTTATTCCCTGGTATAATACGCTTCTCTGCTGGGTGTTTGATTATTATCTCTGGTTAGAGTATCTCAAGCCTCACAAATATATTTTCTCTTTCAGTTTACCGCAAACAGATATATTTCCATCCTTTTCAATAAGGCTGTAGCTTAATAAGTCACCCCTTGTGCAAGCTACAGTATCACTTTCCTTAAAATCTGATTTAAACTCTCTATCAGTGTAATGCACCCAAAAGTTCTGGCCATGTTGGTCTTGTCCATGTGCTGACACGTGCCTCTCAGGCAAACAACATGACGTTTCAACATGTTCCCCGCTTCAGCTAGCAGACAGTTGCCATTTATGTATATATGAATATGCATTTGTATGTGTATATATAAAAATACACAATACATATATATACATATATAAGCTGTGCTGTGCAGGAATCTTCCTTCTGTTCTGTACACATACAGCGCTAAAAATCATTTAACTTTGGTTTTTAGCTCAGTGTATCGGACACTGCCACTGTGCACATGCTAAATTATGACTGCAGACTCTGGATCCACAATACATCAGGGATAGAGTATTCGAGGGGGTATCAAATAGCATGACTTTCACTATCTTTTAAAAGACTTAAATTGCAAATAACTGCATGTCCCAACAGTAGAAATACCTCATTTTGGTGCCACAGATTTGAAAGTCATCTTTGGCAGTGTGTTAGGCTGCTATATATAGTTTTGCTGAAAGATGCTTATCCTTGAGAAGTAAACTACCTGTCCCTGCAAAATGTTTAGAATGACCCTTGTGCTATTTTCTCATGAAAACCATTTCATTTGAAAACACATATGAAAAGGGGAACATATTTATTTCATACTAATACCAATATCTTCCAATACCTTATCTCCTGACTCCATTATCTAACTAATAAAGAGGTGTTTAAAAGCAAAATAATTTTGTGACATTTTCTAGCCACTGACCATAGCAGTAATATGACAAGTATTATTTTGCCCAAGATTCCTCTGAGACACTCACCATACACAAAGCAAAGAAATAATCTTTTTTTCTGGCAATAAAATGAAATTCTTTCAGAGTCAAAGATCTTCAGCAGCACTGAAGGCGGTTACATGGCAGGAGCAGCCTGCCAGGATGACAACACAATGTCTACTCTTATCTTGTCAGGTTTTATTTTTGCCTTTTTTTTCTCTCTGGAACTATAGCTTGAATACACAGCAAGGCTGGATTTTCTGTGGCGTGTTCAAGCAAAAGAAGAAATCAATGAAATGAAGGAGTTAAGGGAGCACAATGAAAATATGCTGCGGAATATTTTACCCAGTCATGTTGCCCGTCACTTCCTGGAGAAGGATCGGGATAATGAAGTATGTCTTAGTTTTATTTCTGGTACTTTTGTCTAATTAACAAAAGAAAAGCAGATCTGTTAGGAAATTGTTAGAACTTAGTTCTTGATAGGATTCTTTACAGAAATACTTCCAATATTTGGTATCTGATCCACATTAAAAAAACATTCATGTTTTAAAGTAAAGGGTTCTGCACTTCTAGGACACTCCTGGAGTGGTGTTTCCAGGTTCAGGCTCACCAGTAGGAGACACATAGACCTACCAGAGCAAGTCTAGCCGAGGGCCACCAAGATGATTAGCGGCACATGACGTAGGAGGAGAGGCTGAGAGAGATGGGTTCATTCAACCTTAAGAGGAAAAGGCTGAAAGATCTCATCATTGTCTTCAGCTACCTAATGGGTGTTTGTAGAGAAGACAAGGCCAAAGTCTTCTCCAATGTGCAAGTGGAAGGACAAGAGGCAACGACACAAGCTGCAGGAAGAAAAATCCCTGTTAGATACAAGAGAAAAAAGATCCCTGGGAAAGTGGTCATTGCATCAGGGCTCAGAGAGGTTGTGAAATCTCCAGTTTTGGAGATATTCAACCCTCAACTGAACAAGGCCATGAGAAACTTGACCTAACTGGCCCTGCTTTGAAGGGAACTGTATTAGATGACCTTCAGAGGTCCATTCCAACCTATGAGTCTATGAAAATCTAGTTTTCCTAAAAAAGATATGCAAATTTAACAGAATGCCTGTGCAACCTTATGTTGCAGCCCAATGTTGCAGAAGTATTATTACAGCCCTGACAGTTATTATGGAAGGAATCTGTGCAACAGGCTGCAACAGACCTGAGCCTTCCGCACCTTCAGACCCAAGAGAACATTTTTGCCATTTCACATTGTCCCTGAATTGCCTCTTTGGGCCAGTTATGAAATACCCATTTCAGAAACATAGTTTGTGGCTATGTTCCTAAAGAATGTTCGTAGTACGCAAAGAAAAGCTTGATAATGGAGTCTCTGGATATTCCTAAGACAGAGTTTGAAGATAGGTTGTTGAAGGGATAAAGGAAAGTCCAGAATTTGTTTCTGAAAGAAGCAGTAAGTCACCTACTCCTTATCTGAAATAAGGCAAATACATATTATAATATTATCTGTGAATAAATGCCATCGTATGATGAAACTGGAATTTTCTCATGTAATGTTGGAATTATCTTTCATAATGAAGAGGTGACAAATGTTGCAAGAATCAGGTTGCCAGGACTGACATATCTATTCATTGTGCAGCAAAAAGGAATCAAGGCTACCCTTTTCTGATTGTACATTTTGGAAATAGATGTAGCCAGATAAATTAGACTGCACAATGAGGAATCATTGTGTTCTGAAGATGTGATTTCAAATATCACCTAGGGAAGGACAACATAGTGAGAAGCTACAAGAAAAGGCACTTTAGAAATCAGCCTCTTGAGGAATTTTACACTCTGTGGGTATTAAACTGCCGTAAAAACATTGCTCTGCACAAGGGAAAATGTATGTGTGAAAGCAACCAAGTTAAAACGCTTCATTGCAAATGGAGCAGGCCCTGGTACCAACCATAAGTGTGTTCTGACATATCTGCATTATGGATTTTCAGGGAATACATGTCCTCTCTTACACATTCATTCACGTACACTTACATGCATAATAATCTTCAAAAGCAAACAGATGCCCCATGGATCACTGCTGATGCTTCAATAATTTGCCACTGAATTCAATTCCACCAACCCTGCTTTGTGTAAGGCAATTTCCAGAGTGACTATACTTGGGGATGATTTATGCATGAGCTGGCTGACTGTAACATCTACCAGATTTCAGTACAATCAATCCTGCAGTTCATGTCTGGCCATTAAGTTAATTTCTCTGCTCTCAAAAAATGAATTCCCAAATGTGTACTGTAAGCATTTTCTCATGGAGTGTTATTTCTGTCTTGATGCTTCTTACCAAAAATAGAAAAACTGAGCAGCTGAAGGCTCAGCCAGTTGTTTTCTGCCTTCATGATCTGAGGAAAGAGTATGCCTGAGTGTATATATGCTTCTCCTAGCACATATTGTCTAGTCTTCCATAAGCATCCACGAACTAACATGTGTGTTACTTTTTTCTATACCTATGAGAGGGAATAAGAGTGTCCTTAGAGTATGGTTTCCATGACCTTGCAGATGTTCTTCAGTGAAAGAAAGTGTAAGAGCAGGAAGGGAACCAATCATGTTTTTTCTCAATCAAAGCTTTGCAGTGCCCTTGGAAACCAGCAGAATTTTCCCACTTTTACTGTAGGGCACATTGTTAAAGAGTCTAGATAAGTAACAGCATTAGCAGCATAGCTAAGTGCAGGGCAGGGGTTCAGGATGCTTTTCTAGGGAGAAGCAGGATTAAGGAAGAAGAGGAGCCTCAGGTGTTCACATTAGGTGTATTGTGTCCAGCAGTAAGTCCTTTTATCATGAGAGCAAAGCACTAAAATTTCCTAAAGCACACTAACAAGAACATTGAGAAGCAGCTACTCCAAGTCAGAATGTTATAAGAGAAGTCCCAGGACAGAAATGAAAGTATCAGCCATTGGGTAAAAGCTAGAGAAGTTGAAGCTAGAAAAAAATTAAACAAAAGAGAACGCATGTGCTTGTATATTAGCCACTAGAAAAGCATCCCAGGATTTTTTCGGGGGACAAACATGTCCTTGGCATTTTTAAAGTTAAAATTAGTTTTGTTCCTAAAAATTTGGTTGGGTTCAGAGAATAACTGACTGCATTTTCACATATATAACCACAAGAACCCATCCATAAATAAATCTCTCATTCAGTACCAGAGTCAATTATATGAATAACATAAGTGGAAGCTTATCCCAGGGCATACTTTATTCTAATAGTCTCCTGTGTCCGATCCCTTATAAGCTGCTTTCTGTCCTCAGTAACTCCATTACCAGCCTCAGTTCTGTTTCTCCCTCCTTTCAAACGCTAATAGCAGAAACCAGGCAACCAAATGGCTCCATAGTCACCTTAGGAGAACCACAGTTTACCATAGAGTAAGGGCTCTCTGAAAAGCTGTGAATAAACAAACTTGCAAAGAGCTGCAGTAGTATGAAGTGTAAGTTATCCACCAGAAAATGTGGTAACTGAGCGAACTCTTTACAAAGAGGTCATATTAGACATTTTAAATGGTCCTATCTGATCCCTGTAAATCAACAAATCTAGAAATATATTGTCAACTGCAAACATTTATAAGACAGACTTAAACAATAATAAATAATAAACATTAGGTTCCTTTTACTTGCCTAACAGTATTTGATTCTCTGGTATTCATACCTGCAAATGAATTCTTCATTTCTTAAAGTGGTTCCCCATATAAATCAAAATGAAAAATTCTATTTCATTTTTGCTGGTGTAGCCCCCTGACCTCAGAAGCAGAAGGAGCAGGCTTTCAAAGAAAGGGCGAACCCTGCATACAATCCGTGATAAAAATGTGAAAGCTGTCAGTCTCCTCTTGTTGAACTTGGCTAACACTTAATATACTAATGCTAACCTCAGGTATTAAGGTATTATGCATGGAAAAAATAAGAAACCTATTTTAATTGCAGCCAATTACGTTCTCTTCCCTATATTACCACCTAAACTCATTTTTCTTCATTGTTCTTTTAGGAATTATACTCTCAGTCCTATGATGCTGTTGGTGTGATGTTTGCTTCTATTCCTGGATTTGCTGACTTCTATTCCCAGACCGAGATGAATAACCAAGGAGTAGAATGTCTGCGCTTGCTAAATGAAATCATTGCAGACTTTGATGAGGTAATACTAGCTACTAGAGGAAATCTGATAGCGCTTAAACGATGAGTTCCCAAATACCAAACATGTCATCCTAAATTATCAAATTTAGTAACTATTCTCCTTCCAATAATTATCTGATTTTTTTTACTCCAAGTATTATGACAATTGTCTATTTTGCTTTTTTTGCACTTAGTCTTGCCAAACTTTGGTCTGAATGACCTAGTGAGATAGAGACTGAAATCAACAGTTAATTGAGTATAAATATGCATAAATAAAAACACAATCTGCTCCAGTGTATCTAGAAGTAGAACATGCCTTAATTCTGTAGAAGAAAGAAGGATGAAGGTATTTGCAACAGTTCTGGAAAGTAGTGGTCTAAATCCAAACAGATAAAGATATCCTTTTGAAGACATTGGTTGAATGGACTCGATAAATGTTAAGGGTAAAACAGTGTCAAGTTAAAAGTGAAGCACACAGCTCAGAATCAAATGTTGGGTAGAGAATGAAAGGTAGTTACATATTAACTGAGGAGACTTGTCTGGTCAGGTATGTTATGCAGAGGTAAGTGAAGTAAAGCTGCTTGCTCTACTGAGGAATTCAGAGGTGAAGGGAAATAAAAAAAAAAAAAAAAAAGAAAAGGACATAGAAGGGAAAAGAATTTATTTAGGTATCCTGTCCAGTTAATTTCAGAAATTGAGCTGAGGAGGGGATAAGATAAACAGAAGAAAAGTCAGATCCCCAATGTAGCTATTGCCAGGTGGAAGCAAGGAAAAACTGGAAAGTGAAGAGGAAGTCAGGAGCAAGTTGCATGCTTGGTATTGCGTACTCTGCCAACTAGTTAGTAAGGAAGCTTAGACAGGTGGTATCATGTCCTGCAATGAGCCCAAGAGGAATTAAGAAAGGGGACAAAGGATAGACCAATGAAGAGCTTTGAAAAAACTTTAAAACTAGGAAGGGTGCAAAAGTAAGGCCAAAATTATATAGCATGGGGAATTTTAACCTATACACTGCAAGCAGTTTTCAGGAGTGTGTAGCCCTCCTGAGATCCCCGAGTGGTAGAAGCAGAATCTGACCCATCTCTACTTAACAGTGAGATTGGATCTGTGTGCCAGACTGGAATGATCCAGAAGGAGAAGGGGAAGGGAAAGGAGGAGGTGCTGCTGGTAACATTGGTCTGTGACTCTGTTTTTGGAGAAGTTATTTAAAGAGAAAGTGGGAAAAATAAATCCTTCTCAGAATTCTGTTGAACTAGACAAGATTAATACAAAATTGGACAGCAGTGGAGAGGGCACATGGATAGCAAGAAATTGTTGAGAAACAGTAAAAAATCTTACCCAAGAAACCTATGTTCTCTTTAATCTTTGTTTATCCCAAGGAATTTTTTAATTCATTTCTCTGTTGTGGTAGAGTATCAACTGGAGAAGTGATAAGTGTCTTGTCAGCTTAAAATTAAGATGCAGTTCAAGAAAACAGAAGGAATGAGTTTGTTCCCTCAAAAGGAGCTGGATCTGGATCTTGCATCCCACATGAGCTATGGAACCATCAAGCAATTGTCTAAAATAGAGAAGGGAAAAACTCCACTTAGATTGTGGTTTGAGAAAAGATAACATCTTTGGCTCTCAACTCAAAAAGCATTATTGGAGTGTAGAAGATTGAGTTTTTGAAAGAAGACAAGAAAGCATACTTAGTCTTTGCATCTGGACCAGGAACCTGCCCATAGATTAGGCATACAGAAAACTTTTTTCCAGAAAACTAAAGCATTGACAGAGTTCAGACCTCTCCAGGGTTTAGCATACAGCTGAATGCAGATTTGAGAATCAGTGTCTTTTTTTTTTTTCCTAATTTATTTAGTTCTACCTCAGCTTTACTTTAAACACCTATCTCTCTTTGAGGATCTAGCCTACAGTTTTTGTTTTGTTTGGGGTTTTTTGCTTTGAAGAGCAAGTATCTCCAAGGGCTTCAGAGGAAGGTACTGGAGGAAAAGATGAAAGTGGAAGGCATACGACCGAGAAAAAGAGATTAGGGGAAAAAAATCTTTTTTTTTTTTTTTTTAATTCCATCCTGAGCAGCAAGTACCTAAGGCCTCTCACAAGTTTTGAAGAATTTATTTTCAATTTGCTCCTCTGGTAGAAGTTACATTATCTTCATTTCATAAGTGGAAAACAAAGGCACCAAGGGGGAATTGACTTTCCTGCATTTTTTTGAAGACAAAGATACCTGTGCCCACACCAGAAGCTAGAACCTACATATGAACCCAGATGAGGGTCTTAATTGCATCTTCATCTTTCCTCATCCTGGGCCTCTGCATGGAGAATGTTCATAGAGTGGTAGCTCATAGAAGCTGGACCAGGGTTAAGATTACCAAACTCTGAGAGACAATGAAATTGAGAGTTTATCCATATAATTGGTCAGATACTAAAATTACTAGTGGGAAATAGAAGAATTCACAGGGGATGCATCCCTGTGCATTTTAGTAGAAAAGAAAACTACTCTGCTATGAGAAGAGCTCTGTCACCTGCTAAGCTCCTGTACTGATTTCCCTATAGGTATAAATACCTGCTTCTTATCTCTGAGATCTTGCACAGCTGTCAGCGTGCTTCTTGATTAACAGTTTTGTTTTTCTTTCCAGATCTGATTAAAACGATTATGGCTCAAACTTAATGCAAAGCCTACTGCTATGAATTAATTTAAGATATTTTGTCATGCACGTTCATATAATCTTCACAACAAAATTCCATTGCTGCCATGATGATTACTGAAGACAAGGTTTTCATCAAAAGCCCTAATACAATATTACATTCAGGCCTCTAGCACCTGCTCTGTAATTAATAAAGGACCTAATTAGGGACTGTATTATGTCGCAGACATGTTTAGTTGAATAATAGATATGTTCTTGGTACAGGTAGTAAATGAAATTATGTGATGCCCTGCTGACTGCTAACCTACTTCCAGCACGGTCATGCCGTTAGTTTATTCTGTCTAAGCAATTTGAAAGGTGATATGCCAGACAGAACAACTGAAGTGAGTAATTCTACCCATGGAAAAGGAATCAGAAGTCATTTCAGGTACAGTGTTTCAGGGCCAGTAATGTTTCCATGTAAATGTTGACTGACACTACATGATGCCACTATTCCTTGTTTTCCATGATGTTTCTTGCCAAGATTGTCTGGTGTCTCAATACAGCCCTGGAAGCAAAATGCAGATGTTCAGCTTAAGATCAGAGCAGGTCTGTTAGCCATGGGAAAACTTTGCTCCTCAACATCACGTGAACACCTCTGTAGAGATACCCAAATGTAGAAGTCTTAGCACAGGAGTGCAAGACATTGGTACCTGGTGCCATTTGAGAGATCCTAGGTGATTTGAGACACCCACATGGGATCATCAAGTCCCATACTGCACCATCAGAAAACTCATGCTGTTCTAGAGCAAGCTGTTGGAAGTTTTTCAGGGAAGCATGCTCTAGATGACACTGGTCATCTATGTTTGGACAACTGAATGGAGTTCCTAATCTCAAATCAGAATCTAACTGTGATTCCTCTCCTTTCCTTACATAGATAATAGTAGTAGGGATGATGTGTCCACAGGGCCAGGAAGATGTTTGTGAATGAAAGCAGTGGTAAAAATACAAATTGACCTGCTTCGGAAAATGTGATAGGTGGATGAGAAGGAGATCTGGGTTACTTCTTTCTTCTTCTTAGAGGAGTTTCCTTGTTACTACAAAACAGAAAGCTTACAATCCAGATCTGTTATTTTGTTTTCCAGGTAATGGATTAATGTTAGAGAGTCAAAGCCAGTAAAATGAAAAAGAGTGAACAGTGGAACAGAACCTGCCACCAACAGCTGCACAGCGTAGGAGCCCACAGAGGAGTCAGGTTGTGACTGGGTCTTTCTTAGGGAGCCGGGGGAACCTGGTCCAAAAGTCGGTCTTGGGGAGTAGGTGATTGACTCTTCCCAAAGCACAGCCTTTACTCAGGGTTATTTTTCCCCTGATGGCTCACAAATCTGTTGATTTCCAAATCATCCAGGCTTCCTGTCGACTGAGGCAGAATGGAAGGTGTTGGTTTCCGGACTGGCAAAAGGAGATTTTTTTTTTTTTTTAATCTGACATATAGCATCATTATAGAATACAGTTATATATAATTTCCTATTTTGTACCCAAGCACAGAGGTGCTGACAGGAACAGTTCATACATCAAAAAACAAACATGAACATTGCAAATCTACTTTTATAATTACCCATTTTTTATATGACTGTAGTCTTAAGACACATACAGGGCTAAACTCCCATTCTTAGAGATGTTGCACCAAAAAAAAATATTGGAACATTTCTCCTGAAGATCATGAGTCTTGAAGGAATCTTTTTTTAATGTAAGATTCTTTCTAGCTTTTTTAATCTATCATTTATGTATGTTAGTGATATTACAGATGGGATTTGTTCTTTAATAAGAGCTTTCTAGTTCATGGGCTCTTTTCTCCCCCCATTTTCTTTATCCTGCAGTGATTTACACGGAGTTTACGACAACAGATTTTAATATATTATGTTGCCACAAATAGAGGTTTCGGCAGAACTCAGGATCCTGCTTTCAGACTTTGCTGATTACTTTGCAGTTGTGTGCCATGTCCTGGAACATTCTCTTTTGTACTACTTTGTACATGTTTCATTGCATGTGTATATCCCAGGGTCTGACCTCCGTATAACCTTGGCTGCACATGAATTGCGGCATCAAGCCATTAGTTGCTTTTCAGATACCAACCACATTCTAGCGTTTGAAAATGTTCCCTGGAGTATCTCGGTAAATTAGCAAGCCTATTTAAAATGTCGTAACAAATAGAAGCTGATTTAGGACCGAGTTGGAATATCTTTCCCCAATATCAAAATCCATCATCCTGTCATACTGTGAAGAAAGTAATTGGTAAATAAACCATTATTTGAAGAAGGAAAGAAGCTATCTAACAGACAGGATAAAGCAGGAAAAAAATAGAGATTTGGAAACAATAATGAATGAGAAGGAAAAAGATAACTTGAGATTATTTCTTCTAAATTGCCTCACAGCCAATAGGTTATTTCTTTCTTAAAAAGAGTCATTTTAGATATTTATCATACATTTTAAATTACTGTGCTGTTTGCTGTTGCTTCCAGCAAACCATCTGGAAATGAAAATATAGGCTGTTTTTAACCAAGACCATTTTCTTCCCCTGCCCACACACCTGGTGCTCTCAGATTCCTCACAAAAGCAGAGCTACAAGAAATGATCTTTTTCTTTAAGAGAGCAGTTGGAAGAGCTGCCCTTGTAGGAGGGAAACGTAGATAATGGGCTTTTCTGGCATTTTGAAGAAAAATGAGAAGCAGGTCAAGTTTTTGGACTTTCCTGACTTGGAAGGGAGCCTTTAGCCATATGGCTTTGCATTCCCCACGCACAATGCTGTGCAGCCTCCCATTAGAGACAGATGGTGTGATATCTGTACATGAACAGCAAAGCTTCCAAGACCCCAGCGCTCCAGCTGACGTACGCTGTGGTTAGTTCAATGGCAGGGGATATTTCATGTTATGCCTTTGGTATGTTTCTCCCTTTGAATGAAAAAATCCCTTTAGTTTTTAATTGACAGGAAACTCAAACCCACAAGATGGAAAAAGAATACATGACAGTGTATAAAAAAAGGGGGAAATGCTTCATTAAATTTTTGCTTGACCACAGCAAGAATTTTTTCATTTAAATCCCAACTAAGTTCAGCCTTCAGAACTGAAAGTTTGAAATTCCTTGTCTCTGTGAACTGTTTTTTTTTTTTCCTCCAGGACTGCCTAACCATATTGATACCTAAATTTAGTAGACACCTTACCGCTTATCATGAAGTTTCCCAGGGTATTTTGGTATTAACATCAGCAATACACATTTTTAAAGCCTGTTATGAGGTGATATGTGCCCATATCCCACATAAAGCTCTATTGTCATTGATAGGGTTCACAACATGAACTCTGCTTAGGTCTCTGAAGGAATGTAAGGCTCTGGCTTCTATTTCATGGAAAGTCCTAAGTTAAACTGTGAATATGGACTTGGCATAGGGACCAAACTGTCAGTCCCACCCCACTCAGTGCTTTAGTCACTAGACTAAATTTATTCTTCTTGCTGATTCTCAATCTGACAAGTTCTTTATGCCTACTTAGCAACTACAGCTATCCCAAACAGATACAGGTGTTTAGCACTTCCCATTGGTTCCCTGTATTTTTTGTAGAAGGGGAAAATACATAACAAAAGTGCAGACTGAATGACCCAATAGACATAGCAGTGTCAGGTCTGACAGTAAATAGAAGCATGGGATGCAGGAGGACTTGATCTCTTGTAGAAGTTCTTTGGAGGTATCTACCTCCATCCATTGGCTGTGTAAGATGGTTAAAATGTTTATTTTAAGTGGACTGTATTCCCTTTAACGCTGGTCTCGTCACTTGAAATGTTGCTGTAGCAGCACTTAATTTGTAAACTGAGTTCCTCCAAAAGAGATTTAAGAACCCTTTAAAGTGATCAAGTCTTTTTATATTCACACATACATACATAGAGAGTTCGTCTTCACTAATTTGCAGTGATGATACCTCAGGAAACGCAGGACTCATCTGCATTTAAGTAAGGTTGGAATATGCATGTCTTATATTATCCACTTACCAAACAGCTTTACAGAGCACAGCAGGATTTAGCTTGAATGCACTCTGTGAGTAGATGATGTTGCAAAGAGTCCCAGCTCAGTGTGCCCCAGAACCCAGAATGAACTGTGCACCATGACCAACTTGAAGATACCATGAGTGTAATGATTCATTTCAATATCTGTAGAAGCATTTTGCATTAAGAATTACAGAAGTAACAGTGGTTTTTTGCATATGTGTTAGTTACTAGGTGAAGAGAGATTTCAAGACATTGAAAAAATTAAAACCATTGGCAGCACGTACATGGCTGTGTCAGGATTATCACCTGAAAAACAGGTAAGAGAATAGTTTTCTGTAAGAAGCAAAGCTTTTGCCATGTCCGACCATTCATGTTAGAGAATATTAGTGTTATGTTTCTGATGTTCATAGAGCTGTGTTTGCTAAAAGGAAGTAGACATTTGGGGCTTCTGGCAGACAACAGTTGCACTTCTTGATGAATTGAAATGCCATCTTGTGCTCAGAACAAGAACCATATGGATTCTTTCCTCAAATTTAGGTTTATAGGAGAGAAAAAAAAAATCTCCTTTCAATCACAGTGATGTGAATCCAGAGCAGCTCTATCTATACCTTGGACATACTCTAAAGTTACCACTGTAACTCGGACCAGAATCTGGCTGACAGCCTCCAATAATCTATGAAGAGAGAGGATCTATTAACTGGCAACATACTTATGCAAGTGTAAGGTTACATTAATACATTTTTGTGATGATGTAGCTGTATATCTACAGACAGTGCAATAAACTATACATCAAAAAGAAAGCAGACCCATCAGTTCAGCTGAAGAACATCACAAAGCCAGAAGTCTGCACGTTGTCCTCACTTGCAGAGTGCAAACCAAGCTGAGGGAAAAATCACCCACAGAGGACATATGCACAGTCACAGCCAGAAACCTCATATAAGTCAGATGTGAGAAATCCATTCATAATTACACCCAAGAATATGCCTGGAAACGGGGTCTCCAAAGGAATAAGACGAGGCTCTAAAATACATCCAGTGAGAAGCTGGCTGTTGTTGAAATCAGTCTTGCTTGGCAACCAGTGCCTCCCCCCAAGGAAGAGCACCACAAAAAAGGGTGTGCTGCTCCAGATCAACCACAGAGTGGGAATCAGATTTGCCTACATTGATTGCAACTGCCGGGAAAGCAGAAGCCAGATTAATGTGAGCTTTATAAACTAGAAAATTTCCATTGTCTGTTTAGAATACATTATAAAACATGTGGAGCATAACTAGCTGAGCATCTCCCACCTACAGAGTAACAAGTGATGCTGACAACTGGAAATCCACAAAACTAGGCATGCATGAGATTTTTGCTTGTTCCATCTCAAAATGCTTCTGTGCAGAGATGAGGAAAGAAGGACTGAACGCCAGGGAGGTAGCTGGTTATAGCGACACGGCTCCTAACCACTTCTTTTGACTCTTGATGTGGGTAAAAATTCAAAGGGAGAAAATCTTTACTGCATTTCCAAGACTGATTAACTCATCCTTTTCCTTGAACTATAATAGCTTAATGGAATTTTTATGTATGTTTTAAATATACTTATCTTCATATATACATGTCTATCACCTTGTCAGCATCTAAGAGGTGAGGGCTGCTGAGGGAGGTTGGCATACAGAATGTGGCTGAGGGCAAGGATCGAGCACAGTGTGAACAGAACAGGGTGATGCCAGGGAGATGTTTATGTTGAGGAATAAACACTGAGGATGATGAAAATTGCAAAGGCCTGGACTGCATGACCCAGGGGGAGACTTGTAATGCTTCATTCCTATGGACTGGAAATTTGTTTAATGAAAGAGTTACCCAGCTTCAGAATAGATGAGGTGACATCATACCATTATCGGGCCAAAACCATGGCTGTTCCTTACTCCACTGCCCACTCAGAGAAACAATTAAGGAGTTCACTGTCCTCCCTTGAGAGTCTGCCCCACCATCTGCTCTGTTTGTGTTCTGGGAAGACCAAAACCCACTCCTGGTCCCCATCTGTATATTGACTGCCCTGCAGGAACGGGAACCCAGGGGAAGGAGCAGGGAGTGACTTCACTGCTCTAAGCAGAGGCGATTAATGAGCTACAGAATAGCCTTTTCTCTCCCACTTAACTGGTCCCAGGTTGCCTGGCTTGCCCTGTTGTTCCTGTCACTATTCCACCCCTGAGAGCACTGGAATCGGTGTTTTTCCTGGGTGACAGTTTCAGCAAAGGAGAATTATGTCTTTCATTTCTTTTGCTCTACTTCTTGCTTATGTGGGTCATCCCTGGTTCTCACCATTTTTTGTCCCTTGCACCTAAGCTAGCTCAATCCTCTCCATACTTTCTTTTTCAGACTTAGATAGATTTCACATGCCTTATTAATTCCCATCATTGCCTGTCAGATTATTGACAGGAAATTACTTTCTTTGGTACTTCATGCTAAGTTGCTCTGTATCTATGTATATAAGTGTTGTAATATAAATGGGAAGCATTACCATTAATAATACCCTACTTCTCTTGGATCTAGTATGTTGAGACTGTTCTTACAAATTCTAAATTCAGATACTTGGCACTTGGTAGGGATGGGTGGGAGCTCGGAAAATTGCAAAACCTTTCTAACATATTGGTTTATAACTTACTTCTCAGCAATGTGAAGACAAATGGGGGCATTTGTGTGCTCTGGCTGACTTCTCCATAGCTCTGAATGAAAGCATACAGGAGATCAACAAGCATTCATTTAACAACTTTGAACTCCGTATTGGTAAGCATAGTTCAAACATGAGAATTAAAATGTGGTTTTGTCTGCAAGGATCCGACTCTGTAAATGCACCCCAGGAGCATTGCAAGAACACGTACAATTTAAAAGACTCCAAATACTGTATCCCCTGTTTTCAAATTGACTTCATCTCAGGCAAAGTTAGAAATAAGAAATACCATGCAGATACACTCTGCAGAATATGTGCCCTGATTTGGGGACTGCAGAAGTTCTAATGTTCAGTGAAATGGGAATACATAGTTAAGCTACTGTCTTTAGCAAGTCTAGCCAAGACCCCACAGGTATAACACAAAAAGTGAAGTGGGCAGCCCAGACCCAACCCCAAGCTTGATACTGGCTTGCACAGTCTCTAATTAGTCTCCCTGTCTTAGATTTTTCTTCAGTAAAGGAGTAATAGTACTTATCCTAAACCCTGTGTGTAGTACTTTGGTTTTGCACAAAAATTGAATTCCAGTTCTGACCTGACCTGTCCCAATGGCAGCAGCTCTGAATTGCTGTGATGGGGAACCTATTATTCTGGATGGGATATCCTGGACGGCTAGTAGGATGGGACATAAAAAAATGCCCTGAATATATGACACATGGCAGGAGCAAATCTGATGGCTTCTCATGCTGACTGGATCACTGGCCAAAACCAAAAACCAACAGGAAGAAACATGTCCTTTATAGACAACCCTGCCATAAAAAAGCTGTATATTCATCAGTCACAGCATGGAGGGTCGCAGCATCACTATCTGTGATCTGCACTTCCTAACAGTTTTGAACAGAAAACGCCCAGTTCCCAAGATTTCTCAGGGAACATGTTTCCACTCTTAGTAAGTGTGGATCACTTGCAAAGATTTCATAAACACAACAGTATTTGGAAACCATTTCTATCACCGATTTTAAAAAAATGTTCTTAAAAAAAAAATCTAAAAAACTAAGAACCTTTTCCCAAAAATGGGCCTTTCACCATCACCAAATGTATTCTTAAATCACTGCTGCAGAAAAAAATAGTCTCTTCTATATTATTGCTTGTCTTGAATTTATGCGACAATCTTACAAGATACAGTCTTTCAATAAATTCGTAGAATACTTTAATATTTTCACTTCATGGAACATAAGAATGTAATTTCTTGACTGTATAGCACTAACAAATTTGCCTTTAACAAGTGTAGACCCAGAAAGATCCTTCCAGAGAGATCTTTCCTACTACATAAGAATCAGTTTGTAGGAGCTTTGGCAATAGTGTGCAGAATACAGATGATATGTAAGTACTGTGGTTCCACTGTGATGGACGTCCTATAAAATAACTCTGTGGATATCACTTTTCATGTTTTCTAGCTCTTCTGGCCTTTTTTTCTTACTTTCTTTGTATATACACCTCTTCCTTAAGCTTAGAGATAAGTGTATCTGAACCAGGCTTCATCTGGTTCTTAAGTGCAAATATGGTTTTCAGCCATTCTTGTCTAACTGGCTAGCTCTTCTCAATTTTATTTTTTTTTTAACAGGGATTAGCCATGGCTCTGTGGTAGCGGGAGTTATCGGTGCTAAGAAACCCCAATATGATATCTGGGGCAAAACGGTTAATTTAGCAAGTCGAATGGACAGCACAGGTGTTAGTGACAGAATACAAGTGCCTGAAGAAACGTACCTGATCCTGAAGGACCGAGGATTTGCCTTCGACTACCGAGGAGAGATTTATGTCAAAGGTATCAGTGAACAGGAAGGAAAAATCAAAACATATTTTCTTCTAGGAAGAGTTCAACCAAATCCTTTAATCTTACAACCAAGAAAACTGACTGGACAGTATTCATTAGCAGCTGTTGTATTAGGACTTGTACAGTCTCTTAACAGGCAAAAACAGAAGCAAATCCTTAATGAGAACAATAACTCTGGAATCATAAAAGGACACTACAACCGGAGGACTTTGCTGACTCCCGGTGGATCTGAGGCAGCAGCCCAGGCAGAGGGGGCTGACAAAACTGAATTGCCATAATCAGCATTTTGTTTGTGTTCTTTTTTTTGTATTTCTTTTATATATAAAAATAAATATATAAATAAAAAGGGTTTAATTTTTTTTAGAAGGTGTCATTATTTTCTGGTGTGATATTTCTCTGAGATTCAAATTCCTACTTCTTGATAAATGGTGCCACCTTCTCTCCCCCAGCTGTGATTAACCTCTGAATGTCCAGACATAGTAGCTGTAGGCCACCATTCTGCTGTGCCAGCTATCTGCAGAAAGGGGCAAGAACAAACCTCTGACTGGAGGGATTTAGAACATAAATTGTGTAGGGAGTTAATGATGGGGAAAGGAGGGAATACTCTCCACACTTTTGGGGTGAAAGCAAAGGCATAAGGAGATTGAGTAGGTTCTTTTCACTTTTAGTTGCCTTCAGGTAGAGTTATACGCATCTAAGCTAGTTGCCTGGTCTCCACAACAGCCAGGGAAAAGCTAGTCAATACAGCCAAAGGATTTTAAGGTGTGCTACCTATCTGCCCAGGTGTGAGGATCTGGGAGATAGAAGAGGTGGATCTTGCCCTAAACCCACTGATTCCATTGAGTCCACTGGCTGTGGGCTCTTAAAATATCCTAAGCTGTCCTCCTCACAAGCGGGTGACTGCACTGTAGACAGATAAATTGCATGTTGGTATCCACCTGACCTCTTGCACCCAAGCCAGGAAGTGAAGGCTCTCCTGTAGGCACTGTGTCATATCTGTCAGTCCCGTTTGGAGGGCTCAAATGCACTATGGTATATTGACTGGCACAAGACACCTATGAACGGATGACAGAATTACACCTTGAATGACATGTCGAGAGCCTACAGCTGAGTCTATTGTCCAGTCAAGGAGCTAATCAAATTCTCTGGAGTCACTTTCCAGAGCTTAGCTCTTAACCCCATCACCAGTCTGAGTTCTCACCAAAACAAGGGTTATCTGAGGCTGTAAAATGAGAACGTGCTGAAGGACAGTAAGAGATAAAGCTCACTGCTAAACTTCTGCTCAGTTGCCTCAAGAGGAGGAGAGGCCAAGAGTGAGGATATCCCAAATTATTTGTGTCCCAGCACAGAGACAATCCTGCTGGGATGCTACAATGGCACACCTAGGTGTTACAACCCTGTGTCAAAAGGAGGATAACTTTTTGAGGAATGGCTATTCAAGTTTGCCTTGGAAACGGTAAATATATAGCACAGGTTCCTATATGCATCAGTGCCATGATTCATACTGAGCTGTAAAGTGCACAAATGAACCTCTCATCAAGTCTGTATGCTCAAAGGAGCTGGGTTTGTCTCAGTAAATATTATCTTTAAAGTAAATCACAGATGGAAGCAGCAGAACCTGTAATCACACAGCAATCCCCAGATGAGACGCCACACAACCAATACAGTGCAACATTCGGATTCTTTGTAAATACAGGCCTTGTTTTTTGCAGGCTGTTACCCAGTCCTTAATGAAAACTGGCATTTCTTGGGAGCATCACCACTGGATCAGGCACATTTTTAAAAGATGGCCAATATGGCTAGGAAAACTTGATTCCTACATTTTATAAGACACTTTATTGTTTACTAACAAAAGAGGTACCAAAATATGAAAGTGTTTCATTGTAGTAAGACAAAAATAATGCTTTTCGTTGTAAAATAACCTGATGAGTGGATTTGTGGGGCAAAATTTAATCAGCTCAGTGCTGTCTTCAGAAATAGAAAATAATAAAAATGATGAAATAAATTCCACAGAACATTGTATCACTGAACAATGGATCTGAGCACAGAAAGCAAAGAGCAGTCTGAAATGTTACACCCAGTGATGATGTTGCCAGTAACTGAGTTCTCATTCTAAATTGATTACTCCTTTGAATCCCCACAAATATCACCTTTTATGCCACACAAGGAAAGTTGAGCCCCTCAGCTCACCCGGGCCAGTGCTGATACTGTAGGAGATGAAGACAAGGAAGGGCTAGCATCTGAATCAGTTAAATTAATTTCATATTTACAGTGGTATTTGAGGCACTAAAGAAGGAAATTTTGGCTGGTTTAAACAGCTCATTAACAGCTGTCCTCTGCTTTGCAGCTTCTTTCTGTGCTGGATGGGTTCACTTCTCCTGGTTCTCTAAACATTTAAATCTTGCTAATATCCCAGCTGAACTGGTTTTCTAATTCTCACCACTGCTGCCAGCCTCTGTAATGTCAATTAGCAGTGAGTGGAAGGTGTTAACTAGATAACAGGACTGGAGACCGGAGCTGTGAGGGCAACTTCACTGCTCCTTAACACCGGCCTAAATCTCCTGCTTCTTGTCATAGACAGGGATGGCTTTCTGCGTTATCCCTCTCAAAATCTCCATTAGCATAACGATGTTCCCAAGCAAAATTGCCTGCTAATGAAGCCTGAGTCTGTGTTGACCAGATGAAGAGTTTGCTAAATCAGCTCATTGCCATGAATAATTCTTTAGTGAGAAATTTCACCTGTGACTGACACAGGTAAATCCCTGCTTGGGACTATTTGCCTACACTAGATGGCTCTTTGTCACCCCAGCAATTACACTGCTTGTTCCTTTTCCAAGTGTGATGACCTTAAACGTTCAGCAATGTTATTTTTCATTGTAGCATCTGTTTTCAGTGGAGCAGGAGCTATTATTTATGCTCTTAGTCTTCTAGTTTTTCTCCATGACTTTATGTTACCATTAGAGTATTCAGCTTTCCCTCACAACTCTATCTTCAGGGTTTCTTGTTCATACAGGATAGAATTGCTCATACAAGAAGGACCTATAAAGGCAAAACACCTGGTTAATATCCTTTGAAACATGCATGCCTGGGTTAATAAAGGTAAATTGCCTTGATATTGTAACTCTTTGGCCAAACCAGGTAGCCAATATTGAGAGCTTTCCTAGATTTTCCCCATTAAGAGGAGAAAGCCTTGACAGAAACTGATATACTCTTTGATGTCACCTTATTTATTTCTACAAATGTGCACTACAGAAACAAACAGCGGCCAGCTGCTTGCTCAGAAATTTGTACCTCAGTCCCTCCAACAAGCTCCATGCCATGAGCTCTGCTGATTTAAATGTTTTCTAAACAAACAGGCTGAAATCCACAGCTCGCTTCTCTGAAAAGCAACCTACAATCAACTACATCAAGGGCAGTTTATGCCAGCTTTGAAGTACTCATTCTTAATCATTAAAGCAGATGGAATATTGACTATCTGGACATAGTACTTGTCGTGGTTTAACCTCAGTCGGCAGTTAAGCACCACGCAGCCGCTCGCTCACCCGGTGGGATGGGGGAGAGATTTGGAAGAGCACAAGTGAGAAAAACTCGTGGGTTGAGATAAAAACAGTTTAATAATTGAAATAAAATTATAATAATAATATGATAATAATACACAAAGCAAGTGATGCACAGTACAATTGCTCCCCCCCCCCCGACTGATGCCCAGCCAGTCCCCGAGCAGTGGCCCCCCCGGCCAGCTTCCCCCAGTTTATGTACTGAGCATGATGTCACATGGTATGGAATGTTTCTTTGGCCAGTTTGGCTGTGCCCCCTCCCAGCTTCTTGTGCACCTCCAGCCTTCTCAGTCGGTAGAGCATGGGAAACTAAAAAGTCCTTGGCTAGTGTAAGCACTACCTAGCAACAACTAAAACATCGGTGCGTTATCAACATCGTTCTCATCCTAAATCCAAAACACAGCACTGTACCAGCTACTGGGAAGGAAATTAACTCTATCCCTGCCGAAACCAGGACAGTACTGTAGCAAAATCATTATTCTGTAATGCTCCAAGTGCATATTTGCAACCATCACTCCTATATTCTAGCAAAGATCATATCTGTGGCAAGAGTGCTTGTTTGCAGGACAGTGAAAAGGTTTTAGTGTTGATTAATTTATGCCATTCACCAATCTATCCAGAAAGTCACAGTTAGGTACTGATACCTGTCAAGGTATCTACTCTTAGCTCATATTAAGACTCAAGACAGAAGAGAGTTTACCTCTACTGAGAACAGTGTGATAGGTGTGATACCATTTAGAAGTGTGTGCTGAGAAAAAAAGCAATTCAAAAAATGGCCCTTGCACACAGGGGAAAAATATCACTCACTGTTCTCAGCTTTAATTCATTCCTGATTACTTCACAGTCATTTGCACGTTTTGAAAAAGTGCAGGGGAAAAAAAAAAAATCTCATCAAATCCTTTTCTCATTAGCAGAACTTCAGCTGCCTTTCTGTGCAATGGGAGTCAAGGAGTTCATACAAATACACAGCACAGCAAAGGTGGCTAATAGCCACATGTCCTGTCACTGCACACTGTCAAGCTGCAATGCAGGGAGCAGAAAGCCTGGCTCCAGAGCTGACTTGACGAACACGCAGTGAAATGATCAGAGGGAGCAGGAAATAACCACATTAACCATCATCAGTGGTACATGGTAAGCGTTATAATTGCACAGTCAACTTATTAACCTCCCCATCAATCTTTTTCTGTTGCTCAATGGCAGTGACACAATTAAGTGTTTGTGGTTTCCCCAGCTCTGTGCTTTGCTGGAGGAGGGGAAAAAATATGACAGTGAAGCAGTCGGCAGATAGGAGGTAAGGGGTAAAAATTCAATATGCATTTATCTCTAGGCACTTGAAACTTACTGCAGTTCAGTTAGTATTTAAGGAATGCTTTCATTAGATCTCATGGTAGAACAAAATATTTCCTTGGTTTATGTAACTTTAGTAGATAAGGCCCATTTTTTTCAACAAAAATTCTTTTTTTTCTGTCCATTTTCCACTAAGCTCTTTTTTAGGTGATTGCTGTCAGAGTTACAGAGCCATCCAGAGACTGATTCATTCAGCTCTTTCATGTGAAAATGACAGCAGTGTGCAGGGCTGGTTAGACAGCATCTCCTGTAAAATGCTGCTCATGCTACTCCTCCTGGCCCAGATCTCCCTCAGCCCAAGGTGCTTTTTTCTGGCTCATAAATATGTTAATATTGATATGCTGAAGATCTCTCTGTTTCACAGTGCATGTACC